CAAAGACGTTGGGCGTGGGATTTAATGAAAAGTTACCTTAGCAACTTGAAAAGAAATATTTGATTTTATATTGCTGAAAAAATTAATTCATTTTTTTATAAAGTTTAAAAATAAAGTAAATAGTGATACCAGATAATTGGGGTAGGGAGTTGACAAAGAAAACAATTTAAAAACCATTAGCAGGTGGACAGACGGACATTGATGATCTTGTTAGGGAAAAGCATCTGTAATTGGGTGAGATGTATTAAGCAGGTACTACAGTCTCCTAAATGGCTTAAATTCTATAACATTGGACTCCATATTAATTTTAAAGCATACAGTTAGACATTACTATAGCCCTGTGGTGTTATTGCTGTTGTTTACAGACAGGCTGGTAAAAGACTTACATTTACATTTATGCAATAATCAGATATACTCTGTTCTTAGTAAAGTGATGGTATATACTGTTTGTGAATGTTCAAGCGGTCAGTGGTCAGCGCTGCCTGCTCAGTTTTTCCTCCTTTGTTTTTCGACAGCTATTTTTGTGCCTGTTTATATTTAGCAAGTGGCCACTGAGGAATTTTTGTCATATCAGTGTGTTTCTCCTCCCATGAACCCAGCAGATAGCTGGCTATCTATGGTTAATATGTGATATAAAGATAGGTATGACACCCCCTTTATGATAAATGCAGATTTTGGTGTGCTTGTTTTCTACGTTATCAGGCCTTTTGTCTAGGTGAGCCTCACAATCTCAACTCACAATACACACTTATCTCTGTGTGTGCATTTCTGAGCGTTATATGTATCTGTATGTGTGTATGTGTGTATGTCATAAGACTAGACAGTGCAAGATGCTATCAGCAGTAGAGGATATGAGGACTACTATTTATAACTCCCCTCTCAGTCTCAATAGACACACTGTCCTGCCCCGTGGGGTAGGTGCATGTTTGTTGTGTGCATCGCTGTTGTCGTGTTTGAGTGCATGCAACAGAGTGCGAAATTTAAGAGTGGATGGAGACCAGGAATGTGGCAGACAGGGGTGAAAGGGAACGAGCTGTGAGTGACAGCCTGTGCGTTAATTTGCGTGCACGCACGGGTGTTTTTGTGTGTGCGGACACCACAAGCTCAAGGTTTGAGTGGAAAGCAAAGACATGTCACACTTGACAAGGGTGAAATGAGAGGAAATGATTGGCTGTTTTCTGATGTCACGGATTGTGAGCTGTCCTAATTAGAAACAGTCATACACTGCTTATTCACTTCAACAGCCTTCTCTCCACTGCTCTGCCCATTCCCTCTGTAGTGTATTCTTCTCTCTGCCCTCTAGCTTTTCTTTCTGTTTGTGTCTGACTGATTTCATGTATGTGGGAGTTTTTCTGCCTGCAGTCTCCAGTGGTGCTTTAAACATAAACTTTCTTTTTCTTCAAGATCTCTTTTATTAAAATACCAATTTTTAAGACTACCAAAGTCTGGTTCGCAATGTTCTCATTGCACTTGTTTCTGTTTATGCTCGTAAAATGATATGAAGCCCAGCCTAAACCCAGTCAGTTCCTATGTGCAGTTGGCTTCTGCTGGGATTGTAAAATATCATTTCCCTGAATCTGCTATTATGAGATTCAGGGAAATTAAAGAGACACGATTTGGCTTACATGAATGAATACAGGCACAAGCCTCACTTGACACCAGCAAGGAGTAATTATTTTAGGGAAAAGGGAGATTTTTGGGTACTTTCCTCTCCTGGGAAGCCTTAAAGCTTGAATTCCTTCAGATGGGCAGAAACAAGCAAAAAAAAAAGCACACTCTTAAAGTGCAGACACGCATGTATACACAACATATCAGTGGATCAGAGGTCTTGGGAGATTATTCATAACCAGTGTTAGCTTTTGCCAAATTAATTTTGCATAAATGTCGCCTTTGGCATCATTATACTTTTCCTGTCTAGAAAAAAAATGCATTTTGAAATTTGATGTTTTTCCAAGGAGTTAAATTGCTCCTTTATGGGTGAGAAAGTTCCTGGAAATCTATTATGCTGAAAAATGCATTGTCCTCAACAAAAGTTACTGTGGAACAAAAAGTATGAGAGCAGCATGATTACCATTAGCAGTGTATGGCACAGTAGCTCAAAAACACACTGCCGGCAAATATGTTGACAGATGGTTTCCACTAGTTGTATGTCTAAGCCAAAACAAGTCACAAAAGCAAAAACACTGTTCCTTATCTAATTTATCCATATTCACCAACACATAACTACCAGTACCAGGCCTTTATATGTTTACATCCTTTTGTATAATGCAGGAAAGCGTGGGAGCATCGGCTGCTGCCGTGATGAAGACAGGGAGTGACAAGTCTTATAGCATGATCTCCCTTCTGTCCCACCATGCTCGAGCATCGCTTCAGTTTCTACCCCATTAGAACATACAATAGAGCGCCGAGCTGCATAGAGAGTCTCTGAAGAACACTCAAATCTGAGTATAGTGAGCCAGCCCCACATACAGATACAATACCATTAAAAAGCACTCAAGCGTCTCGATATAGGGAGAAGAGTCTCACTCGTTTTCTCATTCTCCAACACTGACCCAAATAATGCAAACAGTGAATTCCCGCATTATTTGGAGGCTATCAAGACAGTAGAAAAGAAAACGATAGATTGTGCAGAGGCGATGAAATTACATGCAGTGCTCGATATGGTTACAAAAGCCATCCAGTGCTTTCTGCTGGTGTCTCTTTTTATTCTCACAATGCGTTTTCAATATATTGTACAAAACCTACCCTGTAGAGAAATGCAACTTTACCTGCAGGAAATTGGTGATACGCCAATACCCTGTAACCTAATAGAAGAGAGGCTTATAGGAATAGAAAGTACTTGATATGTTTAATTGATGCAGCTGACTAGTTCCATACATTTAGTTATTAAAATCTCACATAATCAATCCGTGTTCCTGATAGGGGGGAAAAACGTGAGTACTAATTACATCTAAACCTGCTGCAGCTTATCAGTCATTGTAGTTAAAGTGTCTGACTACTTGACCCTTTTAAATATTATTAAATGAAGCCAAATGTAGTATACTTATTCTTGGGAAAGTGTGATCAGAGCCTACAGGTGGATGCTATTTGTTAAAATAAATATTAAAATGGTAAATATATGAATATGAATATGGCTGTGTAGTGTATATCTGAGCCAGAAAAGTGTACAGTAGTGTGTGAGTACTTTCCACAGCTGTGTATTTTCACTCATTGTAGCAAAACACAAAGTGAGTCGAGATCAGGTTGAACAAAGTGTAGATCTGACTGTGATGGATTTCTAGTAACAGCACAAAATGAAATTTGGACCTTTACATTACCCTTTCATACATGTCATGGCTGAAATACAGAATAAGATAAGTGGTGCGGTGCAACAGTAATCAGTGTCCCAACCTGAGAATATAGAGAAATTTTATGGTAAGCTAGTGAGTAGCATAAGCATCTAAGTGAGTTTTACGGTGGCCCTGAGGGGTCAAACTCACTCCAAAACTAAGGGAAAAAAAAACCAAAACGTACAAAACGCAACAGAAGTATTTTTGGGGGACAACAACATGTTGGAAGAGTTGCCAAAGTGACAAGCTAACAGCAAGTGGCTAATAGCAAACATATGTTTACAGTGTTATATGAATTATGCAATTAAAACACACATTACCTGCATTTTTTTCTCCCTAACAACACAGATGAATCCTCTGCTTCTATTAAGCCTGTCTCAGTGCAGTACTTATATTAATAGTTTGGTTTTCTGTCACTTCCACATCTTGTCCGTCACAATATTGTCTCCCCCGAAAACACGTTTTTTCAGATTTTTTTTCTACTTCCTTTTGTGTTTTAATTAACTTTTTTTTTCAAGTGCTTTTGTAGCATTTTTCTTTTGCTGGTGTTTTCTTATGTTGCGGTTCAGTTTGACTTCTCAGGGCCACCGTAAGTTTTCCATTCACAATGCATTTGGGAGTAATGAAATGGAATAACAGTACAGCGTCTGAAGAAGTTACTCAACAGCTTCTGCTTGAGTATGGTAGAACCCGATTGAGAAGCCATCATCACTACCAAAGGCCACCATAAACCCAGTAATAATAACAATAATGGCAGTTTGTTTAGTTAAAATGATAATTACATGTTGTAATGATAGTCACCTCTTTGGGCACAGCAAATTGCCCATCCGTATATAGTTTTTTATGGGTGCAGGGTTTGGAATGATTTTTGACCTTTTTTAGGTCTCTCTAAAGGTCTCTTCAAAACTGATTAGACTTGACTGTTGCAGCATATGGGATTGAGGCTAATGTTCAGCCCTATTACAATATGCAGTGACTCAGAGCATTATGGTTGCTGTTTCACTTTTTTTTTTTCAACTTTAGCCACACTGTGGATAAATTACGGTAGAAGCAGGCCGCGGGCAGTGTGTACTAGCAAAGTGTGCCTTTATGTGTCAGTTTGTGTAACCGTGTGCAGCGCATTTATTAATTTTGAGGTGTGAGCCCAGTGTTTTGTTCTGTTTCTTAGCCTTTATGGTTTTTAGGTTGTTTTTTTTCCCCAAGCTGTCAGGTTGCAGCTTTACAAACACACACACAGACAGAGGAGACCTCCACACAACCCTGCCTCAATCATAATAAGAGAACCAAGTGACACAGAACAAGTGGTGTCAAGATAAGGTATGTGTGAACTCTCTGACATTTCAAGGTAACAGAAAAGCACGAAGATCGTGCAATACTCAGCCAAAGACAAGGTAACACATTTGCTCGTCCACACTTTTTGCAATGCTACACTCTTTTTAATTCTTCGCTGCTTTCTCTAATTTCACATCATTTAATAGTCCACTATAATGAGTCATTTTAAATACAGCATAAATGAATAGAGGTAATTTGTCCATCTATAATTGTGCTTGTCTGCGCTGTCCAAGCTAATGTCTGAGTTTGGCTGAATTAAATGGCAAATGGTTCTCAGTCAGGTTTAATGGAGTGAATATGAGCGACTTGGAGTGAATGCAACCCTTGTTCCTCAGAACCATGCCCACAGAGTTCTGCAGCCTGGTCTGTACCGCACCAATCCAATCTGGTCTTAATTGAATTGTTCTGAGGCCCTCATCCATATATTTCCTCTGCAAGAAACTTATTACTCTCAATCTCTGTATGCATGTTTGAGTGTGTATGTGTGTGGGTGAGCAACTGAGAGAGTCTGTCTACTCATATTGTGCCAAGATTTAAATGCCTTGTTGCTGATTGATGTTTCCGAGATGCATCACCTATTCCAAGTTCGAATAGGTGGTGGACTAATCTGAAAAGTGCAACCGCCCCCCCAAAATAACAAAACAAAAACCCCCAGTACAGATAGTCTAATGAATATTCAGCTAATCTTGTGTCTCTGTGTTTCTCTTTGTTCCTAGGATGTGAAGTCAACGTTCTTCCAGTTTGGTGCCTCCATCCAACAGGAGGCTCTGCTCATGCTGAACATCATGGAGGAGTATGACTGGCACATCTTTTCCATTGTCACATCAAAGTTCCCAGGCTACCAGGAATTCATCAACATCTTGAAAACTACTGTGGACAACAGGTTAGAACAATACTGTGGTGTGTTCTCAGTTCAATTCAATTCAATTTTATTTTATTTATACAGCGCCAAATCACATATTGTTAGATAGACCCTACAATTAATCAACAGAGAAAGCCCCAGCAATCATATGACCCCCTATGAGCAAGCGCTTTGGCGATAGTAGGAAAAACTCCCTTTTAACAGGAAGAAACCTCCAGCAAACCAGGCTCAGGTTGGGGCAGCCTACACCTATTGCAGTGTAACTAAGGGAGGATTCAGGGTCATGTGATCCAGCCCTATATGCTCTAGCAAAAATGATAGTTTTAAGCCTGATCTTAAAAGTAAAGAGCGTGTCAAACTTTCTCTCACGCATACACAATGTTTTTCTAAAAACATTTGTTAAAAGAAGTGATGCAGTTTCTGATTTTGATTGCATTTTAGATCAGTAACTTGATTAAATGTTTTTCGGGGGAGTTTCTGGAGGTGTTGAGTTGACCCAGAAACCCCTCATTTGCAATAAAGTAGCCTAGACTTTAACTTTATGCAGATTAGAAGCCAACCACTCAGTGTGCATTCCCTCAGAACACAACACACTGCAGTGCTACCAGAATGCAGGGCATTAAAAAAAAATACCTGACCGTTTTTTCAACCTGTTTCTCTCTAAAAGAGTGAGCAGGTGGGTTTCCACTGCTAATCATTTAAGTGTCCCCAATCCTCACACAGCATGTTACAGGATTATCAAAGCATTAACCAACCCTGCCAACTCAGTCTTTTAACTAGAAACACTTTCAATGTATTAAAATTAACAACATCAAAATTACATTACACCAGTAGAAGACTAGATGAATTGAAGTACATCCATTGTGCTCTTCAAAAATATCCAGCCTAAAAGAATTTCGTAAGCATCCTTTCAGTGAATGGGGATGATAAGTAGGTTTACTGCGCGTGCAGGTTGGCTGTTTGCCACACCTTTAGGTCATTCTGACTGATGGTGCTTGTTTCAGCGGAGAGAAAGAGGAAAGTACAGCACGCCATAATTTTGGGCAAAAATGGTCATATTAATGATACATGTTCAGCACTGTGGAGATGTAGGCAAGGACTGGTGCCTGTACCTGTGATATATTCAAGCTCACCTGAGGTCTTTCTCATCAACAGTTACTCTTAATGTCAGACGCAGCAGGGATTCAACAGCTTCTCCTACTCTATGCTTTGTTGATGATAACTAAAGCAGTTTAATTACAGGCAGCAGGTGACAGACATGTTTAATACATTCATATGGAGAGAAAGGAAACTTAAAATCCCAGTGTCTGTATTTGTGCCTTTGAGAAGTGATCTTGACTTCAGTGCTACTTTTAGCTGCCCCCTTGTCACGAGGGGTTACCACAGCAAGCAGCTCTACACGTTTGATTTGGCAGAGTTTTATGCCAAATGCCCTTTTTTGACACCATCCCATGTCTACAGCTATATTACACAAAACCTGTCTGTTTGGTTGTCTCCAAATTCCTCCTACATGATCAGGAGTTAGGCAAGCTAACTTGGCATACAGGTACATTTCAGAGCTCAGAAAGTTTTTATCTTCAATAGAGATTATGATGTCATCGTGCTGCTTAGCAGCAACCTACCAACAGGTTAAATGAGGACACGTAACATATTACAAGAGAGTTGTATCATTTTAACTTCATGATAACAACATCTAATTTAGCAAATATTGACTGCTGAGATCACCAAATGTTTATACTATCAATATTACATTAAATCATTTGACACCTTAACTTATGACATCAGGTTTAATGTATTTAGGGTCTATATTAACAGTTTAATGTTGGATAAATGACTGGATAAGCATGCTTAAAGGCAAGGGGCTTTGAAGCCATTTGATTTAGTCCAGGCTATAAAATTCATTTAATGCACTTTTATCAGGTCCATTTTATTAAGATGTAAATTAAACAATGAGACATATGAAGGTGTAATCAGAATGGAAGTTCAGTTATTAGGTGATCTTTTACTACGTAGATCTATATTCAGTTTTAAAAACATGTGTATATCATTTTTTCATTATATGTTTAATGGAAGTGAACAGATGAGTGGTGTATCACAGTTATTTTGACCATGGATAGTAGACGTGGTCCCTTAATCATACACACAGAAGATATAAACACATTTTAATTTCAACAAACCCCATGTTTATCTTTAAAACAACCTCTTTTGCCTCTTTTTACTTTTTTCAAAGTGTTAAACAGTTGAAACCAGGGCATGTATTTTCTCATCTCAGCTGAGTGCAGGTGGGCAGGTGGTCTCTCTGTGTAATCTGCAGATTAAAGGAGTTTGCATTGAGTTTTTGGATGGGAATGTAAATGAGCTGGACCAATAGAGACCGGTGTGTTCTCCATCGTCTCAAACACAGAATATGGTGTTATCTATTTCAATTAAGGAGACCGATGCATAACTAAAGAGCATCCTGAAGAAACCCCCCCAAAATTAAATGTGACTATCAACTTCTATTTACTGTTTACTTATAATATAGCATTCAGCAGCATGTACTGTATCGTTTTCCTTGGGTGTGTATGTGTGTACTTGTCTGCATGTGGATCGTTTTCTCTCTATTAGCTTTGTCATCTGGGACAAGTAACCTGTCATCACTTTGAAAAGCAAGAAGAGGCCAGGAAGTCCCAAATCACTCTCATGTTACACCACCTGTCCGCTGAAGGGTCCTACACAATGGTTAACTGCCATCTTTGCCCTATCGTGTGTCACACTTTGTATTCCTCACTCTCTCTTGTGTATGTGTGTGTTTTTGTGCGTGTGTGTGTGAATGCGAGCATCACTCCCTAATCCTCACTCTGCCTGTTCATAACTGCTGTCAACTTGTGATACCGCAGAAAATCGCCAGTTTATCGCACAATTATGTTCTTTAATTGCGATCATAAGTGCCGTTTCCCTCTGTTTCTGCTGGTCTTTAGCCGCATGTACTGGGACCTTCTGATTATTATTACTCGTGACATTATGAAAAAAAGCAGCCAGTCCCACTGGATGAGAGAGATGCTCTATAAATTCATAATCTTTTTTAATGAGCACTTGCTATTTCTAACTCTGACCACTTTAGCTAACTGGCTACTGAATTACAAGGAAAAAAAATCTTTGGAAATTTTACATGATTGTTTTCCTTTGCTGCAGTTTCGACACTATAAAGTAGCAGCCCCATGATTGCGCTGTGGGAAATCAATACGTATTACCCTTTTTTGTGTAAAAGGTGACAGAAGTTGCATTATGTTTTGATCACTTCGCTGTTATGTTATCACCAGTGTCACCAATTAGCCCAACGGCCACAGGCGTTGCTTTGGATATTTATTATCAGGGCGATGTTTTTTCACCTTGTCCTTTAACTGTGTGTAGGCTGGAACCAGCTGAGAATCATTACTGGACCAGCTTCATTCAATTTATTGTGCTTAATGTGCTCTCCCTCTGACAATAAGCACTTTACATCTATTAGAATTCACGTCGCACTTAACAGTGATATTAATTATAATGGATAATTGTAACTGCCCTTGCCAGCACCTGAGCAAAGTTAATAGTCTATTAGTTAAATATTAACATTTCACTCCTCTTCTTGTTATCCTTGCTTTAGTTTTGTGGGTTGGGACCTGCAGAATATCATCACTCTGGATGCCGTGGAGGAAGACAGCCGTTCTCAGATCATGCTGAAGAAGGTCCAGTCTCCAGTGGTCCTGCTGTACTGCTCCAAAGATGAGGCGGTGTACATCCTGGATGAGGCTCGCTCTCTGGGCCTCACCGGATTCGGATACATCTGGATTGTGCCATCCCTCACCACCGGCAACCCAGAAATAACGCCAGACGCGTTCCCGTCGGGAATGATCTCGGTGTCGTACGATGACTGGGACTACCCGCTGGAGGCCCGTGTTCGCGACGGTATAGGCATCATAACGTCAGCGGCGGCAGCCATGTTGGACGAGTATGGCGACATCCCTGAAGCCAAGACGTCCTGTTACGGCCAGATGGAGAAGACAACCAAGCTGCCTCCCAGTGCACTTCATAAGTAAGCAAAGAGTTTATATCTTTGTTGTTGTTCTTTTGTCTCTAATGATTATTAAAAAATAAAGTACGTGTGAGTCTGAGGAGCACTAATAGAACAGAAAGAGGAGCATAATAATATTGGTGTTTTTTTGATTTGTGTAATTTAAAAGCATCTGAAAAGTCCCCGAGTTAGCATGCGCGATTTTTTATGGATGACTCTTTCCCTCCAACTTCTGTTTTCACCCTTATCCTCGCTAATTAGAGAGAAGCTTTCACCGAGTTGCTGCTGAAGATTGCCATTCGAGAAAAGATGCAATTATTGGATACGAGAGCAAGGGATGGAGAGATAGAGGAAGAAGCACGGAGGAAGTGTAGGAGTTAAAAACAGAGAGGAAAAACAGGTGAATGGAAGTCGAGAGGGGAGCTTGTGATGTAGGCAGTGAAAAAACAGGGGCAGGCAAGAAATCGAGACTGGGGGGAACAGCGGGAGGCCGCTACAAATGAGTGCTCTCCAAAATTGAAGAGCTCCTTGATGAGTCCTTCTGTTCTTTTCTCATTTATTCCACCATCTCTCATTCACTCTCTTCTACTCCCCCTTCTCATGAGCTCAACCCTGCAGCAGCCAGTGGGAGATGGTGCAGGTCTTGCCAGCTCTGTCTGGCTTTCCATCTGGCAGAGGAAGGAGGGACACACACAGTTGCGCAACCTGTGTTTACATCCCAATATTGTAAAAAGATTTTTAAGATAATGATGTGTGAAATTAAAATTTGCATGTCTAAAGGGTAAAACTTGATTCTACGACGTATTTCCAGGGAGGAAAAATCTCGCCTCTCTGTGTCTACTGTTACTTATCTTGCAACTAAAACGGTTAGTCTGGGGAGCGATTTAGAAACAATTTAGCTACACATGAAGCCATATGGATGTGTTTGATATTTAGCAGTGTGCAGAACATTTTGCCAAACACAGTAAATCAATATAATATTTCATCTGATGTAAGTGATCCAGCGTTTGAGTCGACACAGAAATCACGCCGCTGCTCTTTATCTTGGATGAATTCTTAAAACCCAACAAGAATAAGAATTTTTTGAAACAGCTGATTTAACCATCATGTCCTTATGTGCTGATGATGGCATTGGAGCAAAAGTTTGAATATTTGGCTTTGACAGAATCTCAGAGAAGGTTGCATGGCTTAGTGCAAAAACAGAATGAGGAAAAGAGCCCAGCAGCTGCTCAGCTGTAACACGGTGATGGGTTTTTTCCCTTCGTGTAACATCAGCTTTTAGAATTAAAGTTCCAATTTTCTTTCTCTTCTGGGATAATACTGGTTTAGTGCTTTGAGTTTGAAGTCTGAGATTTTTTTTATTCCCTTTGGTCAGTTCACTCTGCCATATGATGCATTTTAATTGGCTCTTTGTGGCTAGGTCACAGCAGAGCTTTCTTCTCTGCGCACCTACATCTCTACCAGCTTTTCATCATTATTGATGATGTTTCTGTCTGAATCTTCCCACACCTTCCAAATGCCACCCCGAATTTCATCTGGAGCCATAACAACCCCAAAGTCACAGAGGTAACAGGGTAGTTACTGGTGCTGACTGGCACCAATTAGTGAGCTTCCGCTCAAAACAGCGGTCATTTGCAGAAGGAGTCATTAAAGTAGGACGGATTGCATCTTAACTTACAACCTGATCTATGTCTCATTTTGTCTGGAAACACAGACGCATCAAACAGAATCACCAAACATCAAGAGCCAGCTGACGTTGTTCCCAGCGTGCTCTGCTGCCTAAGGTTGTTACCCAGGTGATCAGTGTCCACAGATGGCACTGTAGTGGGTGAGAGAACTCAGCCAATAGGGCTCTGAGGCCAGAACAAGAGAAAACACGATTGGTTAAAGGTAGGTCAGGGCAATGGCAAGTGTGGGTTGTTGGACCATCATCAGCTGTCAGGGAAGACATGAAGACACGGTCAGCTCACAGACATGCAAGTACACAGATGCACGCACAGAGAGGTGAGCAGATGGGATGTAAGTGCAAATATACAGTATGTGGGACATATTGCAGTATTTTCCTTTAGGCACAGTATTTATCCCAGTCTTTCAGGAGGTGTGTTTTTGTAAGCAAGATGTCAATAATGGTATTATTATCTTATGAGCATCTGGCTAGTGTTCAACTTGAGATTTATTGTTTGTTTGCTTGAGCACCTCTCAGACTCCACTGTGGTTTGTCACAACAATTAGATTTAAAGCAGATGCTCCTTCCAGCCCTAAGTGTGCCAGAAACCATTTCATAATTGAAAGTAACTTGTTTTGATGGGAATATTATTAATAGTTATTGCTGAATTTACAAATAAATAAATAAATAAATAAATAAATCCTTCACTCAATGGCTACTACTATAGCTACTATACTATACTACTATAGCTTCGGGCCTTTAGTGAAGTTTTACCTCAGTCACTTTGCTCGTGTCAGCTGTGATGATAAATCCACAGTGACATATCCAAGATGAATATGGTGTGCCAAGTAATAAAAAATAAAATTAAATAAAAACAGGAGACAAATGACCAACTAAGAGCGCTGGCCAGTGCAGCAATCAGACCGAGTGACAACCTGTACTCCATATAAAATGCAGCGCGTGGACCTGTGCTCGTGCGCGTGCACGCGCATGTTAGAAACAAGAGAAATATCCCCCCTTAAGAGAATGTTCTGTCATGACAGATTTACAGTGTGCTGCTCACCTTCCTGTGGAGAACAGTGTGCCTTAAAAGACTTTAGCACTTATTTATCAGTGTGTGTGTGTGTGTGTGTGTGTGTGTGTGTGTGTGTGTGTGTGTGTGTAAAAGGCGTGGTGCCGGTAGTTTGTTCTGACAGGTAATTTCGGGCTCTAGCCGTGATATATGGGGGTCAAAATTCAGAAAACACATTTTTTTTCGTAGATGCACATTACACACACAAACTTAGTCCTGGGGCAGCTGTCATTTCAGTGGTGCAAAGACAAACGCTTGCTCAACAGCGCTACACAATGCGATTTTTTGTAGCCTGTCCTTTCTGGCATTTTTCTGTACAACACTTACAGACACATAAAATGAGGCATTTTTTCTTAAAATATGTACATTTTCATAATTATAAATCTGAGAACTGGATAAAAACTGGTTTAAAAGTTTAAAGTGTTTAAAAGGTTTTGAATATTGAATATTTCTTAATCACTCTATACATATTCCAAAATAAAACAAAAAAACAAACAAACAACATTTTTAAAAAACATTTTCCAGACATTTAAACTCAGGAACAAACAAATAAATTTATGTCCTTCAGATATTCTTGGTTTTTATTTATTTATTTTTTTTACATGCAAAAAATGCAACATCACTGATTAACTTGGACATTTTATCTATTTATTTAGATTTTTTAGGATTTAGCTTCATATTTGCACTAATTTCCATAAATGTCCACTAGGAGAACTATTTTAAAATAACGTCAGTGTGCATGGAAAAAATGGCAACAGAAAAAATGGTTTTGCCTGTAGTTCTTCTTCATGCGTGCTGTACAAAACCGTTTAGTGTATTTATCATTTTAGAGCGTTAGAGATCTAACATGTTTTTTGTCTTTTTAGAGAATGGAGACCGTCATGCCCCAGAGTCTCAACATGCCCGTCAATCCACAGCTCATACATAATACATTACCGCATAATCACTTGCTAACGACACCTATGGGCGTTTGTGTATTAATAAATGTAAATGTAAATGTTTGCAGGTCCCTTGTGGGATGTGAAATGCACCAAGTGATCTCAGAACTAATCGTGTATTTAGGGGTAAGATTCCTAAACAATGAGTAAAACAGTACAGTGGATTTGATTCTATAATGAAACTGCTCTTATACTATTACTGTATAAGCAGGCAAAACATTAAAAAATGAAACCTGTTTTATTTAGTCAGCTATTCTAGTGACTTCACACTATGTAAAAAAATGAATGTAGTTGAATTTGTTCCTCAAAAAAGCTGTTGTTACTACATTTACATGTGGATGATGTACGTATAATTAAGCATTTTCACATTCACAAAAACGGCTGTTTTAGGCCTCGCACCACTGTTATCAGCTTTCAAATAGGCAAATAAACCTTCACACAAAGGTAGAAGATGTGTGTCTGTGTGTGAGTACAGTGGTTATGGCTTAAACATTGATGGTGTGAGGTGACTATGAAGCGTCTCTCCATTTCGATCTAAAACAACAGACTGATTGTAGGTCGAGTGCCTGATACTTCAAATGAAGTGTTCATTAAGCAGCGGTGGGTGTGCACTTCAAACGAGCTGTGAGAAAATCAGCTTTCCAACAGGCTGATCGTGGAGCTCAGATAGTTATCATCTTTTTCTGTTTTTGTTTTGGAGAATTAAAGCGAACAGTCTAGTCGTCCCAACTTTCAACATTAAAGAAGTACTTAAAGCTGAGGACATAAAAGAGGTTTTAAGTTTAACTTTTAACTGAAAGGCTAATCGACTTAGCTTCAGCTAAACGACTGCCCTGTCATTTGTTGCTCTAAGAAATATAAATGTTTCCTTGGCACTGAATTTTTAAAATGTTTTAGATGTTTTCACATATCTTAACAGGACATCTGGCTTCTTCTTTGTAGAGCAGAACAGTTGTTTGACACAAGGAACAAAATCAGTTTTACTTACTACCCATGTTTTTCCGTTGCTCATTCACACAACTCTCAGCCAATCACGTGGCAGCTTGTTGCATTTAAGCATGTAGACATTGTCAAGATGACCTGCTGAAGTTTAACCCGAGCATCAGAATGGGGAAGAAAGGTAATTTAAGGATCTGAATGTGGCTTGGTTGTTGACAGCAATGGGAAGAAACCAAGTACAAATACTTTGTTACTGTATTCAGAGGTCAGAGGTGAGGAGCCTTGAGCTGACAAAGAGCAACTCACATAACAAAAAAGTAACTTAAATAATCACGTGTCACAACCAAGGATGCAGAAGAGCATCTCTAAATGCACAGCACACGAAACTTTGAAGCAGCAGCTACAG